TCTATTGAAATAGGATAATATTATTTGATCTTCACTTTCGGGATCACGTCCTAATAAGGAGAAGTAATAAGTAATAAGTATTTATGTATTGTCAAAAGCGTCTATAAAACGATATACAGTTTTAATGACTGTCCCAGAATGAGGGTAGCGTTTTATTACTATTAAGTGGTCTGTACAATATAATAGTAGTGTATTTTCACGCAATACTGACGTAATAAGCTATATTGCACAAATACTAGATTCAATGTAGGTAGTTATAACGTTTGTAGCGAATCGCAACGCTCGCTACAAATTTTTTCAATGTAAATATATTTTATATAGCCATTCTATATATAATAGAAATCATATCATAATAAAACTTCTAAATTTAAATGTACTTATTTTTTGCGCCTTTTTCTTTGTTATTGTCATTGTTTATTCTGTTTGGTTCGTAATCGTACTTAAACTGAATGTACATACATTTGCTCTGATCTTACTCATCCTTCCCGAATTCCTTTGATACAGTCCGCTACAATATTGTTGTATAGTAGTATACGAGTATTATGATAATATTATGCTTACGTAGCTTTTCGGTTTGTGTAAACAAATGTATGCGTAACAAATGGGCTAATTAAAGCCAGTAAAGAAGTGATGCATAAATTCGCAGAAAGTGGAACTGGGGAGTTATTAGTTCCGTAGATCAACCAGGAACTGTTGTTAAATACTAAACGCACGTATAGGAAATGTTTATAGATTAGGCATAATATATTTATAGATTATATAATATGCTAAAAGATGTAAAAATATTTAAAACGCGCTGATGTGGTGCACCATCGCGGAAAGCGCCGTGGTTTTATTTTCTAGAATACAAATCCGCATGCCGCAAGGTGCCGCGCGGAAGTGTTTGTTTTTTATATATCTACATTACCCTATTGTATTATAGGTACCTACGCAAGTAACACGAATTATTCAATTACACCCACAACATACGCTTTAAGAGAAACTCGGAATCACTTAGCCTAAAACAAAAGTTTGTCCTTATCATGTATTTACAATAGGTATATGTAAGTATAGGCAAGATAACTAGCTTAATTTAACCTTTCGTAACGGATAGGATGGTAGGGTCGTCCTTCGAACCCTTTGAACAACGTAACGGTGCAGTTTTTATTAAGTTGAGTATAAAAGTCAGCAAAATAACGAGCTTCTTTTAATTACATAAGTCATACAATTTTATGTAATCGCCGTGTTTAGTCGACAAATTGTAGAAAGTTAATATGTTAGGTTAGATTAGGTTTATCAATAACAATAACACGGTTAAAACATCTAATACGCATAGTATTTTGAGCAAGACATACTAGATATAAGTCTCCACTGTACTCCCACATTTTCATTTATCATCGCTTCTCATACGATAAAGTTCATTTTTATTCATTTCATGAAAAATAAACCTAAAATCAAAAGAGTTTCGTGAGTAAGTAGGTTTGATCTGGATTGTTGGGAAACTAAAAACACTGCATATGAAAGTAGTTAACGAACGCGTCTAATAATTGTACCCACAGACATAGTGATTGTACCGCAGTTTTTATGTTTTTTATTTCTTAAATATTGAGCGTAGAGACCTGTACTGATAATTGGTGACGAATCTACTACTTTGTGATAAATCTAGTGTTTCTCCCATGTATAGTAATGGAACCCAAGCAGATAGAGGTTTCAGAAACAATGGTTTTTCGCTATCTTCCTTTCATATCGCGAGAACATTGCGACGCACAATGGTATTGCTGTTACTTCCGCTGGGCAAACTTGACGTTCTGGCGTGTTCACAACCTGTTTGGTTTTGGTTTGTGAACATACGAGCTCTATTGCCGTTTCCAATACATTTTAGGGGCTCTGTCTAGACTAAAAATTCAGGTTTCTATAAACTGTGCCACCGAATGGCTAACTGATGACTTAATTTCTTAATATAAAAAAAAAACAAAACATGCGCTAGGTGCTGAAAGTGCTAACGTTTATGGTCCCAAAACTATATATTATATAGTGAAGGTTTGTTGAGACGCTACCTCGAAAATGAGTCATGTTATCATGACATGATGAGAGAGAGATAGATGTAGAAACAGCTTCGGAATAAAAATAAGTGAAAGGCTTGGTCGCAAAAAAAATCGTGAATGCTTGATATCTATAAATAAGCAAAAATATAATTAAAACTTAAATAGAATTAGATAAGTTGTTGTTAAATAAATTATCATATGTTACATTTAGAACTAAACTTTGTAGACAAAATCAATTGAATTAATGAAATAATCGAGTCTGGATCAAAATGGAACCAACAGTCCGAAAAGCCGATTCTTGCTTTGGATTTTTGAGGCTGTTTCGGAATTTAATTCAATCAATTGTAGTCTAATCGTGTTTTCCACAAAACCAATAACATATATCTAACATACATACTTAAAATCCAACAAATTTTTAAGTGGTGGTATCACCTTTGTATATTCTGTATTATTGTTGATTGTTTAATATACGTAGCGCAAACTATTAATCTATTTCCCCGTTGAGCGATGTTATTGTTATTATTTAGTGAGAGATTGTTTATTTATCAGATTTTTTCATCATAAGGTAACATTATTGTTGGATGATCTGATAATTTTGCTTTGGTAATTTAATCCTTAGAACGATCACGTACTGTCTGTATGAAAGGGGATTTTATACTCAAAAAAGATGTTTATAATAACTTTGACCTACATAGGACAATAAATACCTACCATTTTAATTGTTTTTTTTTACTTCCGTGTTCACCTAGATTATTATGTATAAACTAGGTAGGTACATTAAATACATTCGATATGCTGTTGGCAGTTGTTATAGTAAATTATGATCTTGAAGGTTAGTTAATAGGAAATCATGTATGCATTAAAAATAATTGTACATTGCAGTAAAGACTTAAAATATCTTTTGCAGTTGTACCAACAATTTGTTAATACGCACATTAACGGCAATGATATAATTACAACAAAACAATTTTATCTTTTTGCAAGTAGTTTCGACCATTTTTAACTAACTTCAAAAAGGGGATGTTTTTTGTTTTGTCTCCGACATTTTGTTTCAACATCTTTTTTGTTGTCCGTAGTGAATCTCATTGAAATTGGAAGAAAAGATTTCATCTCTAAGAATGGCAAATTAGGGGATGAATCCGGTTTATTGGGTTCCGTCCACTTTCCGTTGACGGATAACAACTAAACTTGGCAAATACATTTAATTCCACAAAATGTTGAGTTCGGTTTTTGTTTTTAAAATTTTTATTGTAAAATATATTCATTGCAGTCCAAAATTTATTACATTCCGTGTTCAGATTGTTTTTATGGATCTTGTACAAAATATAAACTACGTGCACAGCTGTTTTAATGCTTGTAAACTAGACATACCTACTGGACTGTCATGCTGGACTGAATGTTCATCTGTATCATGAATATTCAGTCCAACATGGCAGTCCAGACAACTCAAGCAGTATTAAATCAATTTTTGGAGAAAGAGAGATGATAGAGGTGAGCACATTTTTTTATTTCTGCCTTAAAAAGTTCACAGGAAACATTTAAGTACCTACCAAAGTAGGTATTAATGCACCTGCACTCTTTTTGTTTATTAGATTAAACATAAGTACATTTTCCGCATAAAGAGTTCTTCGGTTTCCCCGATTGTTACACATTGGGAGTGAAACTATTTTTTTGGGTCTAAATCGCGTATATTTGTTTTTTTTTCAAACAAACCAACATTTCGTGCCCTCTTACAGGTCCCGTGGTCACGGTTGAGAGCCCGAAGCGTTAGTTTGTTTGAAAAAAATACGAAATTTAGATCCGAAAAAATAATTTCATACACTCTGTATATTAAAAAAATTCTCTGTCTATATTAAATAGTTATGTCATTGCGCATTATTTTAGTCAGAACTCTGATGTCGAAGAATGTTCTGCGACAAAATGGATGCTTATTTTATTTTTATTCTTAAATTTATTAAGTATATAATTTATATTATTTAATAACACGTATTCACGTGTTAATAAATATAACTGACAGTCGCATGTAGCAATTCACCAGCAGCAAAGGTCGTTAACCGCAATCAATGATTTTTTTTGTAATGCTTTTCACAAACACTACAATTGTCAACAACTTAATCAAAATGTGCCTGCTGTATAGAGTAAGTTTTTAAGCTTTTTTAAACTAGGTGTTCTATGGTTGTTACTTGACGAAATTCTTTTTTAACAGGTATTTTCTCCATAACTCTTCGCCATGTCCACTTATCACTCCGCGTTTTATCGCATGAGACTTTTTTCTTGTAATATGTTATGTTGTTATTAAACAATTGCATATAAATAAAGACTGTACGAACACATTGTGGTAATTTTATAAATCAAATGCAACAGATCGTTACAAGTACATTTTTGTGTTTGTATCATTTACAATAGGAAACGGCTATTGTTAAACAACAATAGAAGACTGTATGTTTTTCCATTGTACACATGGGTGCATTTTCAGAAGTTTAGTATTGAAATGTTTTCTGTGATTGTGCAACTGCATTTTGAAACTTATTATTTCATATAAAAACAAAGGTAGTATTCTGATTGTTGACGTATAACATAACAAACGTTAAAATAAATGAAATAGGTACCTAATTCATAAATTTGTGTTATGATTTGAATAATTAGTACGATCGCAACTTTTCGTAAGTTGTTATCCATTTAGTATCTTTCACCGTAAATAAAGTTATCAGCGGCATCTATTTATTCCAGACTGCATCTGCAGTAGTTCGTTAGCTCCCTTAACACGGTCATAATAATATTGTCTCACAACCACTAAAAGAAAAAGGAAACAAACAACTCGCGGTTCATTAAAATAAACTCCTTATACTAAGTGACAGTGCAACTACTTACCTAAATTGCATATAAGTAGTTATTAAATTTCGCCTGGCAATGTAAGAAGGTCAGTAGAAATATTGAAAACGAATAATAAAATAATAAGTAATAACAAAAACTTACATGATCTGGAACGTTTTCGTCAGCATTGCTGTCAAATGCTTGCAGTTTCAACGCAGTATCTTGCTTAGGAGAAGAAACTGGTGACCTCGAAATGTAACGATTGGAGAGCTTCCTAGCAAAATTACTCTTAAAATCTTGACATCTCATTATAGACTCTACTGGTCTACTGAACTCCTCCATCTCCCGATGTATTTCGTCCAGAGATAAAGAGAACGTTTCCATTAATTTTAAGAGTCAATTTCATAATTCAAACAGAAGTTTAACTACGCGTCCCGAATTTTATATTTCAATTTATCGATCAATGGCGTGTGCACATCGCGAGCATTAAACGCGACCGTTAGCGTTTGAGGCAGAGATAGCACTAACTGCGCGACTCTACATTTCTACACGTTACGTGATCCACCTGTTGCGTCTTATTTAGCCCCCTCGCAATGTAACTTGAAACACTGTTTAATATTACTATTCAGATAATGCTACTTGAGCATTCGGACAATATCGTCCACTCTTATATGCCACCCATCTTCGCTTAGTTTCCAATGCCATTGTGGGTTAATTTTACTGTAAGCCGTGAACTGTCCCCAGAACGCTATACACTTAGTTTTGCTGGCAGTTATAATCACTAGTCTGCGAGGTGTTCAGAGAGCAATTAAAATGAGGAAATCTAAGAAATTACGATAAAAAATCTACAATTACATCTATAACCGAAAACGTAAAAAGCACACAACTTATAATTTTTTCGCTACTCCAAAATTGTCCTCATAGTTAAAAATTGATAGGTAGAACATTCTCCTAAAAATCTTTATAAAGACCATAACATCTTCGCGTTACTATGATTTTAACAATCCCAAAATATTTCATTCTCGCACTTGTATTAACGCCATCTATTGGAGGACGTAGAATATAGCAGTCTCTGCAAACTTGTTTTGACATAGTATCAATTTAAAACCGGCGAGTGCGCATGTTCGAGTTACATTGCAAATAGGACATCTAAGTACTCCTACGATCGCTGCAGAGATGGCGCGCTTCTAATTTCTGAATAATAAGCTCGTAGAAAAATAGGGGAGAATGGAAGAAAAATACATGTTGTGCCGACCCCACCTAGCGTGGGTTGAGGACAGGAAGAAGAAAGGAATCTCGTAGAAAAATATTTCGAAATACTTCTACGTTTTACGTGCTTTGAATAACAGTTTAACTCATAAAAATTGCAGATAAAAATGCATACCTACTTAATTGTTTTCAAAAACATACTTGAAAAGATTTCTTTTGAATTTTTTTTTCGACGGGTTAACCGTGTAACTTGGCCGATGAACTTGGCTGACATTCTATTCTCTCTACTCTGACATTCTTGTCTATTTCATAATTTATCGTGTTTAAATTAAAACCTTAAAACAAATTGACAATCTAGTGTCATATCTAATGACCATTTCACCCAAAGACAATGTAACCACTACATTTTACTTCACCATCAATCAGTACCATAGAAAAAAATGGCCAATTAACGGTCTTTAATCAGCCAAACGGACAAATTATCAAAATTATTAAGTAGGCAGTCCAACAAGTGAACAACCATCAAACCTTAACACGTGCGCTTTGCAATAAAATGATGATGACTCCACAAGTTGGCTGTAAAGTAAGTTTAAAGCTGCTACTACATTGTATACTACCTCCGAACAGTTGACGAATAAGATCCATAAAACAATTTCACCTAACATTTTTCAAATTCATTAACATGTTTGATTTGTGGAGCTTTTAGTTTTGGTACTAGAACTAAATGCAGTAGCCGAGGCAGTTCTTGACTACTGCCAGTTTTTGTAATTAATTAATTCTTTTAAAGCTCTTTTGGCACGCATATATCACAACGGAAGTAAGCTTCTATTATTAGTATATCTAATTATCTGTCTCTTCATTCTGTTGTAGATGCTTACTTGCCTTGGGAACCCATCTCTCATCCCATGTGGCGCTAATATTTAATGTACATTGCAATGTACTTCATAATTTCTGATGTTTATATAAAAAATCAGCACAGAAAATGGATAGTCTTACATCAGATGCACTTGCCAATTTCAACCTAACTGAAATTATTATTCTTTGTCTGGTATTTACATTTGTACTAATCTTAATGACTCATGCATGTCATCTGATCGCCTCTTATGAATGGTAGCACCAATGAAAAACGAAGATAGTGATTGGTCGTTTCCGAAGGACTTTAATGAATTAAGGTTTGTAAACGAATGTTTAGAAGAACCTACATAAAAAGGTATTCCACGAATTACAAAATTTAGGTAGGCAGGTTATAATATTTAACAGTTACGTTAAATCTGGCCACATGTACAAAAAAGTATCCATCACCAGCAGAGATGGGATCAATAGTTGTAAATGGTTTTACCCTCGATTTCGGGCGTTAATGGGGTTTAACCCGATTTAAACCCAGTGTTAGCAAAGCGGCGGGCTAAAACTCTGGCGATCTGTGAACAATAGTGAATCGTTCATTTCATTCATTGAATTGTGGTCAATCGTTTATATTATTGTTGTAATTCATGGAAAACCTAATAGCTGTAAAGCATTTCTATAGATAAATCGTAGTGCTCCATTTTTTCAGTTTAAGTCCTTCGTTGAAAGTGCACGAATTCGGGCTCACAGAAGTAATATGCCTCACAGTGTCACTGACAATCATGTTAATCATAATTACACAAATCTTTCAAATAATAAACGGATGTAAGTATTACAATGTCTTTTAACTTTGCGTTAGCCTTTAAGCACAAGCAATTTGACTGAAAAAATTGAAGAATAGTTGGTGACTAGTCACTACTTAAATGATTTTCAGAAATTCAATATCTAGATTTTTCTCCTAAGGTTTCTTAATCTAGGAGCATTATATTCTATCACAACAGACTTAATCAAGGAATTGTTTCTTGTAGGTAATAAATATAATATATTATATACACCTTCCAACTTCAGTATAATTCTAAGGAGTTACTGTCATTTATTGTTAGTAGGTTCTTGACCTCATTTCGATCCTCCTTGTCCTAATTAATAGGTAAAATCCTCTAGTCTCTAAGAGTGACCTCCATACAAATTCTTATAACCTTTTTTTTCCCTACATGCCACTGTATAAAATGTTAAACAACGTATTCATATTTATCAAGCCAAAGTCAATTTGAGACAGGGTTTATGGATATTAAGAACAATTTAAGACTCAAAATGCTTACTCTGTGCTTCAAGTCAAGCAACTTTGATTCTACGGCTTTTGAAAGTCTGGATACTATTTGAAAAAAAAAATATTTTCCTATTACAACTCTGTTCCAGGTCTCCGAGAAACACTACAATACAACTAATAGTTATATTTTAATCGAGACGGCAATGCTATCTCAAGGTTGCTGCATTTTATCTGCTTGTTGCATTCTATCAGCATGTTTTATGTTAAACGGGAGCTATTTTTAACTAAAATAGAAAATGGTATGTAATCACTACAATTTTTTCAAAGATTTAATATCATTTCCCTATCTAGAACATTTTATACTTTATGACAGCTGAAAAAAAAAGAAGTATATTTAAGAAATCGGGCGGATCTGTCAAAACTGTTGGGAAACAAACATTAAAGGAAAACGCAGCGAACTCATCTGAGAATAAAAAATCTGTGGTAAGTATACTAAACTATCGTATCGCAAGGATTGCTAACAACATCGTCGCCATTACCGCTGTAAAATCAGATAAATAAATTTAATGATCATTACCGCCCGCGCCACACTGGTTACTTATGATTTGCCTGTAATGGTAATGTCGGTTTAAGCACCATCAACTTAGGCCCACACCTCATTTTCAGGTGAGGCCAAGCCCAATTGTTTTCTTTTCCAGGCTCCCCTGGCCCTGGAAGATTTATGACTTCATTGACAACGCAGTGAATTAAATAAAATGGGACCCACGGATACTTTAAATAAAATATTTGGCAACAGTTGTTGCCAATCTTTTCTCTGCTGTACCGGGATGAATTTAGCAATGTTACTCATAGCTGTCTTCGGGGCAGTTTTAGTTCTGGTGATAATATTACAAAGCCTCAGCCTCGTCGGACAATCGCCATCCAGCAGAGCGCGTTGCTGATGAAACATACTTATTTATGTAAGAGAAGTAGACACTTCTTTATTTAGTGTATCCTAAAATCAAACCAGACCATTGTAGGGTCAGGGACGGCCGGCGCGGGCGGTGGCAGTGCTGTGTCGGCGCCCTCTGCGGTAGCTTGAAGTGTCGTGCAATAGGTCAAATGACTCCATGCAAATAACTTAAGGTGGTTTTCCATCGACGAGGCGAGGCGAGATGAGACGAGAATCAAAATCTCGCCGGCCTATTTCTTCCAAACTCGCGCCGCGGTTGTGGATAGTGACGATTCAGTACTGTTCAGTTCGTCTAGCCATAAACACGTAGCTGAAGGTACATATCCCGTAAATCATTAAGTTATTACATACATATGTTAACAGGAGAAGTTATGAAGAGTCAGATTATGCCATCTTTTTTAAATTTCAACATGTCTGCGTACCTCACAATCTCGCGATTGACATTAATAGCCATCGCGAGCACGCGTAAGCTTGTGCAGGCGCTTATGTGCTCGCGCGAGAAATCGCGTTTCCGTTGCAGAGTTATAATATTCTATGTAGGCAACAATACGGTTCAATATAATTACGTCACCAAATATTTCAGTTCTCGAATTTGTTACAAATTATTCAAAAATATTGTTAAGTTATAGTATTAATATAAGTATTAATACTGCTAAGGTTAAGTTTCACGGCGACAAAATTAGATAATAAATCTAAAACTACTTGGAGCATAACAAATAAAGAGTCAGGCAGGCTTAAATAACGCGATAGAGACATAGTTTTAGAATTAGACGGCAAACTTATAAAATCTAAAGACAAGGTAGCCCAAGCTTTTGAATCTTTCTTTTCGGAAATTGCTGTGAACATTACAGAATCATTAAATTCCTCCCCTTCTTTTGCTATTGATCTCCTAATGGAAATAATGTTAACGTTTGTGGCAGTTTATTTAATTTCCGTCATATTAATCCACAAGACATCATAAAAGCTTTTAAATCTATACATGTTAAAAAAACTGAAGATCTCTGGGGCATATCAACTAAAGTAATAGACTCAGTTGTTGATCTAATTTCCCCACATTTAGCTGTAGCTTTCGATAGGTGCGTTGACGGAGGTATTTTTCCCGATCTAATGAAATACAGCAAGGTTATTCCCTTATTCAAAAGTGGTAGGAAAGTTGATCCTATCAACTATAGGCCCATTTCAATTTTACCAGCTTTAAGTAAAACATTCGAAAATGTTATGCTGACTCAATAGCTGTCCTATTTCGGTGGGAATCATATTTTTCATAGTGAACAATACGGGATTCCTAGTGATAGATCGACTAGCGATGCGGGGGTAGCGTTACTAAAACACACCTTTGATGCTTGGGAAAGGTCCCAGAATGCTATTCGTGTTTTCTGTGGCCTTTCAAAGGCATTTGATTGCGTTGACTCTTATAAGGAAGCTGGAATATTACGGTGTAAATGGCAAGGCGTCGGAACTTGTCTCGTCATATCTCAACGATAGAATACAGAAAGTAGACATAAATGGAGTGACTTCTCTGGTAAAAATGGGTGTTCCGCAGGGCTCAATACTTGGACCTTTCTTATTTCTGATTTACACTAATGATCTGCTATTCTTTGTTAAGGACCATTGCGAAATAGTATTGTTTGCTGATGACACATCCTTAATTTTTAAAACAGACAGACATGACATTAACTATGACCATATTAATGATACCCTCTCTAAGGTAGTTTATTGGTTTAATGCTAGCAATTTATTGCTTAATGCCAAGAAGACAAAATGTGTTAATTTGAATTACCTAACGTAAAATCGACTAGTCCAAGCATAGAAATAAACGGAGAAAAATTAGACCTTGTTAATAAAGCAGTCTTTTGGGAGTGACCTTAGATAGTAAACTTCAAAGGTTTCCACATATATTTCCCCTGACCAGCAGATTAAGCTCCGCTGCATGCACAGTCCGCAGAATACGTGAGCTTACTGATGTTAGTACTACTAGACTAGTTTACTTTAGTTACTTCCTTAGTATAATGTTCTACGGGATTCTCATGTGGGGTAAAGCGGCAGATATTCAAACCATATTTGTATTGCAAAAACGTGCGATTCATTCCGTGTACCGTCTAGGCTCTCGGGTTTCTCTCAGATAAAAAAAAATTAAGGAGACTCGTAGCATGACTGTGGCATCACAGTACATTTATTCAAATATGCTCGTAAATATATACATAATTTCAATAAGAAAGAAGATATCCATAATATTAACCTACGAGATAAGTCCAAACTCATGGTACCACGATTTGGTTTAACCAAGGTAAACGACTCTTTTATGGGGAACCGTATACATTTTTACAATAAGATTCCGGAGCATATATTAAGATTATCATTTTCTAAGTTTAAAACTACATTAAAAATTTTGATTGAAAAGTCATATTACAAAATTGAAGACTACGTGTTAGATAAAGATGTATGGAAAGACGACACGGCTCCAGAATCCACACAAATTTGATTCAAAGTGTATTCCATAGCATTTAAGTTTATTTGAAAAGTCAGCGTAGTGAACGAGTAGTAGTTTAATGTAATGAAATGTAAATTTGACATTTTGAAAACGTCAAAAAGTGTAAATTTATTTTACCTATGGAATAAATGATCTTTGACTTTGACTTTGCCTCGCCAATTTTCGTCAATCCAGACTATTTCTTTTTAACGTTCACACTCATAGCACTAGGGAAACCCTGTGTCGCGGGTGCCATGGACACACACATAGACAACTACATATTACACCCGAACTCACGAGAGAAATAACTGTAGGCCATACAAATATTTCGCCCGGGAATCGAAGCCGTGACCTCTGCGTAGCAGACCAGAGTGGTAACCGTTCGGTCACTAGGAGAGAATTAAAATTTTTCCATACGAAATTCAATCCTCGTCTCGCCTTGCCAATGGAAAAGTACCTTTAATCATGCTTATCGTCCAAAACATCTGATATGAAAAAAAAATGCCCGAAGAGGAGCAACAGGGGCGACTGCGGCGCAGAAGACAACCATTAATTATATAATATTTAAAAAAAAAAAAACAGTTATGAGATTGAAAGGGGAAGCATAGCGGTTAGGAAATAGATTGTTGACGTTTAGGCTAAGGTTTAGGCATATTAGAACAAATGTCATTCGTTTAATGATTCTGGTAAAAATTTGTACATCTCCAACATTGACCTACCAACAAATGGACGTCGGGTCTAATACAAAAACCACGAAAAAAATGTCCGAAGTTAACCTATACAAACGTAGTGGCATGTAACGAAATATAAAAAACTAAAACATTTAATTTAAATTGTGACGTCATTACAGGATCATTTGAAAACAATGAAACACAGCGAAAATATAGAAAAGTACGAATGTTTTTATTATTAAAAGGAACCTCATTTCAGTCTCATTTTAATGAGATATGACACTATTAATTATACACTACTAATTAAAAACATGTAAAAACAAATAAAAATAGTAGTCTTAATTTAATGGCAATGCTTTTTATGGCCAGGAATTTGAAATTTTGCCAGATAAACTTGTATTAATATACCTAATCTAAACACAACCTAAATGAAAAATTTTGTACTCGAAAATAAGTTTTTAGTTTGAATGAGATGTTGTTTGTGTCAACTGTTACTATTACCCCCAGAGCATAATAATAGGGGTTAAAGTATGAAATTGACGATTTGTACTGAAAATCTAAATTGTTTATTTTTTAAATTTTTAACAAATTTATTTCATCAAAATAGTTGCCATTATTATCTATACATTGCTGCCATCTAATGGGAAGGTTATTAATGCCTTTGCGATAGAGCTCCGACGATCTAGACTGCACAAACTGTGTGAAAGCATTTTGTACTGCCTCCTGGGAAGAAAACTTCTTGTCACGTAGATAATTGTCCAAATCACGAAAAAAATGGTACTCCGTTGGAGCAAGGTCTGGTGAATACGGAGGATGACGAATGGTTTCTAACTGCAGTTCCTGAAGGGTCAAAATGGTTTCTCGTGCTGTGTGAGGTCTCGCGTTGTCGTGGAGCAATAATGGTGAAGATCGATTCATGAGTCGGGGCTGTTTTACTGCTAGTTTTGTCAACATGGTTCGGAGTTCGGCACAATAGACATCTGCCGTTATTGCTTGACCAGATCGGAGAAAACTATAGTGAATAACACCATGCTGAGACCACCAAACAGTTACCATTACCCTTTTATTGGTAAGTTTTGCTTTAGGACACTGTTGTGGCATTTGACCTGGGGTCAGCCATTGCATTTTTCTTTTCCGGTTATCATAAAGAATCCACTTTTCATCACATGTTACAATTCGATCCAATATTCCTTCATTTCTGTACCGGTTCAACAAGGCAACACAAGTTTCAACACGCGTTTCTTTCTGCAGATCAGTCAAATCATGAGGCACCCATTTTTCGTATTTTTTTATTTTATTGATTTGACGCAAGTGAGTCAATATTGTGGGTAAGGTAACGTTAAACCATGCCGCTAATTCCTGGGTAGTTTGACTAGGATCGGCTTCCACTATCTCTCTTAATTCATCGTTATTCACCTGTTCGGGCGGTCTTCCTCGTGGCTCGTTCTTTAAGTCGAAATTTCCATCACGAAAGCGTTTAAACCAAAATCGCACGGTGCGTTCATTAGTAGACCCCTCTCCAAACGCAGCATTGATATTGCGGGCTGTTTCTGCCGCGTTAGTTCCGCGTCGGAACTCGTATTAAAAAATCACTCGAATTTTCGCAGTATCCATCTTTCTTGTCTAAATTGAATAACAAAAACAATTGAAAGTCGATATTCAAATGTTTCAAATTTAAAAAAAAAAAAAAGTCACAGAAACCATTTGAAAAAAGTTTCATTCGAAAACCTCAAACCATGAAGATTCTATGAAAATTCAAAGAACCTATTGCAATAAAACGGCAATTTCATACTTTAACCCCTAATATATTTCCTAATGTTGTCATACATATAATATCATCGATAATTTACTACATATACTTATTCATGTTTTGTGTTCAATATGTATACATCATCATAATCGTCAATCCATTTATATATCACGCTGCTGGGCTGGGTTCCGCCTTGACAAGGGTTTTAGGCCATCGGCCACCACGCTGGTCCAAAATGGGTTGTGGACTTCTCACATTTTCCGAGGGTTATGAACCTTATTCGACGTGCAAGTTTAATCACGATAAAAGCTCATGGTAAACTTCAAATTTTTCGCACATATTCCGAGAAATTCAAGGATGTGAACCCGGATGCGAATCCACGGCCTCTGCTTGAGAAGCAGTACGTCAAACCACAAGGTACCACGGTTTTATAGGTATACACTTCCACTATGTACTCGTATACCAATATGTATACCTCCCTAAAAGTCAGTACTATGTCTATATGTAGTTACAGTACAGGGTGCGATCTCAACCTGTCAATTACTATCAATCTGCCACGCATTGCCGAAATAGTTTTTGTTCGGCGATCCTTGATATTTGATATACTCTTTGAATTACTTTTTCGTAGGAATTGTTGGATTGCAGGGTTCTACGGAGATCTTATGTAATGCAATCGCCGCTAAAAGCAAAAAACTTTCCAAAAAGAAACCAAAAAAGAGGACGCAACCTTTGGAACAACCGACATCCACGAAGGAACAGCCACTATTCGATAAAATACAGACCCCAACTATAGGCAAACCGCCTACACCCAAAGACGAACAGCCTCCATCTAAAGACAAACAGCCTCTATCTAAGGACTTACAGCCTCCATCTAAAGACGAACAGACTACATTGAAAATACGAACAACGTTCACTGAAAGACCCAAATAATACACCTGTATCCAAAAATTCGTTAGCGAATCAACGCTAAACAGCCCCGCAAAACAAGTCGTAGTCGAAGGGTATATCCAGAACACACGCATTGGCGCCAGCTACAACTGAAAGGGTGCCGCCAGCAACATCTGAGAAGGTATCGTCGTCTTCCACACCTGTGAATTCATTGTGTACAACGCTGACGTCTTTGGTTAATTATGTTATAAAAACCAGTGCGCTTCTGTTCCACCAATAGCATTTATGGCAACTACGGCACCTCAGGTGAGGCAAAACGTGAAAATATGGGCTAATAGAGTATATACATGTATCACTATTTTTAGTTAACTTAGCTTTATTTATTATTTTTATTCTAATGTAATTTTCTACAAACAGAGTGCAAGCGCCGAGTGCTGTCAAGGCGTTCTCTGCTGCTCCGCCGAAAACCACGACGTTATCACAATTGTCTCACTTGCCATAGCCAGCATAGTCTTCGTGTATATTCTCTTTACAATCTGTAATATTATAAACGGCGACAGTGGACAAAGGAACGACGTTAGACATTAAAATTATTGCTGGTGCATATTTTACAAGTAATTTAATTATTTCTTAAATGAGATGCAATACTTTAAATGATTATTTCTTAAATTTAGAATTTCCTTAGTACTGTTGCAATATTTCTAATTCATTAATTGGCTTGTAAACATTGACCTACCAAGTAAATTCAGGCGACGAAATACTGCATTTGTAGTTTGATATTTGTGTAAAGTACCCTTTGCAAATAAAAGTTTCTGCAACGTTCCCTGGGTCACAATGAAAATTATTGAAAATTTTAATCATCTGTTTCGATCCATATATGCCAGCTTTTTGTGATTTACTGCGAAACTCGGAAGATAGTGCAAAATTACGAACAATTACCTATTAAGCATGCTTTTGACATGAAACTAAAATAATTCGTGATTGAGTACTTTAATTGCTATAGTATAGTTAAGGATTATAAACGTATGATTCGAAGTTGGAAAGTCCCTTATTGCATACTCCTGTCAGAACCGTCAAATGAGTGTTATCGAGTATTGTAACAGTTAATATTTTGTATTATATTGACGAAATAGTTTTTTCACTCGTCTTTCAATGTGATCACGTCTGCATACACATGTTAGATAATCTAACATGTGTATGCAGACGTGTTTATATTCCATACAACAACACAACTTCAGTTAACCTGATTTAGGCCCAGTTATATGCATGCATATAAGTAGTTATATGCATATAAGTAATTATTAACTGCCTCCGTGGCCGAACGGTTACCATGCCGGCCGGACTGCCACGCAGAGATTCTAGGTTCGATTCCCGGGCCGGGAGAAATTTTTGTATGGCCTACATTTCATTCTCTCGTGAGTTTGGGTGTAATTTGTGGTTGTCTGTGTGTGAGTTGATGGCACCTGAGACACAGTATTTTCCTAGTGTGTGCGTTATCATTATTATTATTAGATCCTTTTCCTCACTGTAACAAAAAATTTAAACTAATTCAATCCTGACTGCCCGCAATTCCGTATTTATTTTATGTATATTATTTAATCTATTAATTACATATTTTGGTATTGGTATTGGTGCAACGGGCTAGTTTCTGCAACTCGACGTCGAGGCGTCTATTTTGCGTGTAGTTAATTAATAAATTAATTACATATTATTATTCTATGTTATATAATATTATTTTGTGGTGGTAATGTATTTCTTTTTTATTTCAGGTCTATTAAGAAAGATCTGTCGTCCTGTATATTACTTATTATCCTGAGGTCTAAATCACCTCCAAAGGTATTTAGTATTTACAAATATAACTTCCACTGGTAACTTAATTATGTCTTAATTAAGTTACCAGTGGATTGGATGGCATTCGTGGACGTCAATTTATGAGACATATCGGTAAAAAACTTCGAACTGCTATTGGCAATCCAATGTCGATATGAGCATTTTTTCTGTCTTATATTGACGAGTAATCACTGACGTGAGAACCCTGTTCATATGTGTGTGAAACTCGAGCATCCTAAAACTCGGCCGTTTGCTTCGCAAATTGTTTCTGCGTAGAATGAGTGCTGTTTACGCCTCTTCAAGGCACCTCGTAGAATATGGGTATTTGTTATACCTTTGTCAGATAAGGGTTTTTTACACCCTGTATCGATTTAGCGACAATTTATCTGAACGCTTAAAATTTTGTTCGTTTTATGATAAATAACATTGAACTCTTTGTTTAAATAATTTCAATTTCATTAAAATATGCATGTGTGGTACATTCAATTAGATAGAGCGCTTTGGAAGCTCGTATTATTTTGACGCTGATTGTACGTCGTAATAAGCCATTTACGTCTAAAATCTCGCCTTTCTGTTTTAAATAATTACACAATCTAACAAATTTTAATTCCACTTAGGTTTAATGGAAGCTAAATCAGCAAAATCACAAGCACCTGCAAAGGCTAACGAAGGAGGGGGAGCAGGAAATGAACCGTCTGACAAAACATGCTGCGAAGGCATATTTTGCTGCAGCGCCATTTACCACAATACTCTTGTGATATCTTTAGTGATCCTAGCCATCATAATAATTTTGTCGCTCGCCTGTAAAGTTTTCAAACTTTTCAGTGGACGAAGGGACTCGACTAGAAGCCGACGTAGTATTCATAATACAAACCGACGTAGTGCTGTTGTATAGTAGGTATAAAAATAATCTGCAATTTATGCAATTTAAACTCACAATAAAATTATTAAAAATGTTTGTAATCGTATTTGAAAAGGCTAACACAAAGATTCAATACACACACATGCACATTCAACAGACCACTTGAAAAATTCTCAATACAGTTCGTAATTTTTCAAAAGTTATATTGATTTTGATTGTTTAATAAAAAGTGAACTTTCTTATTTTAGGTTTAACTTGACAATAAAAAATTGTTGACTGGCATTTTTTCATTCATTTGTTTTAATTTACTATTAATACAGACTTGGCAACAAAATTAAAATATTTAAGTAATTAAATTAAAAATAAAATTTTAAATTTTCAGCATTTTCTGCTTTGTCACAAAATGTAAAAAAAATATTTAATTTCATTTTTTCAGTTGACATTGAGTAGGTCTGTACTAAGTCAATGTTAAAAGACATTTATTGGATTGCTACTTTCTGTCTAATTCTTGTATTTAAATATAAAGCATTGTTTTTGTTTTGCCAAATGGCCAGTGTATTTACGTTCCATTATTCATTTATACCATACTAGTCTTCTAACTAAATGAAAAATGTACCTGCTTATACAGTTGACTTCATTAGTAGTTAACTATTAAACGAATTCCTTTCACCCACGATTGGTATTAACTCTCAATTTTTTGAAATGGTCATTTGTGATGTAAGTATGTAAACGTTCACTTGTACCTACATGGACAGTGGAATGTAGTGTCCGTACGTATAAAACAGCAGTGAAAAACGATACAAAGTGATTCATTATTTCGAACAATAATAAGCTCTTTTGCGAAACCTTGACATGAATGTGCGGACGCCTTTCTCGGAGCAGTTACCGGCCTGCTTCTATAGAAACAGTGTCATCACACCTCTCCCTCTACATATTTGTACTTACATTTAGTGGCTATAGTCTATGTAAACAAATTGTCCAAACTCCCTAATCCAATGCCAAAGACATTAACGCAGACGAAATTATACCCGTATATGTGACGTAGAATTATCTTCTGTGGCTCAATTTTCGTTGCCGCTCATTGGAAAAGAAGCTCATTTTTGACCGACTTCAAAAAAGGAGGAGGTTCTCAATTCGAGTGTATGTTTTTTTAATGAAAGTTACGCGATAATTTCCGTATTTGTGAACCGATTTTGATGAGTCTTTCTTTATTGTAAAGAGTAGATACGTAATATACGTACGTGGAGTAAGGTACCTCAGTAGTGGTCCCATTTAAATTTCAAAAAAATATTCCGCCACCAAGAGTGGCAAACTAAAGAGTGAATGATTTTTGAGGTCGGTTTTTTTATTACTCTGTACTGAGATTACTGTAACCATAGCTTAACATACTCGTATGTCAATTGGGTAACGTACAAACTATCAAAATACAATCCTTGTATGTCGTAGTCTGCAACATGTGTATTTTTTTATTGGGACGAACAAGGTCGTGTGCCTGGTGGTGACACACCTGTCGATAACAATTGCAGTACCACTAAGAGCTTTAGGGTGATTCTTGCGAGACGTTCAAATCGCCATTCCAGGCTGCCAGTCGGTAGAAATATAGTAAATTTAAAAAAACTTTAAATGTGAGAATACACACACAGGAAACATTCCATACACAGGAAATGACTTGGGGAGTCTTTTACGGCCTAGGTCTACGTCCTATAATAATTCCGAGTGGTTAAGAAAACGAAGTCAAATCTCATTACTCTCCCATTCCAAACTACCAAATGATAAATTGACCGCTGTGTTTACGCACCTTCTAAAATTTAATTTTATATAAATATATATATAAATTTTATATGACGACCCGACATTATTTCTTTAAGCCTATTAATTTTTCAAGTTGTTGGATAATAGAAAGATTATAAATTAGATTTTTGACCAGCGAAAACTATCATTACCTTCCGAGATTACGGAAGTTTTGATTTTGTCAAACTTCGCCCTTGAGCTCAGTGGAACATGTCGCCAACCTGTTCCTCACCTATTCTGTGTACCTTCAAATCTTGTGTCATTGCGAAAGAAAAATGTATAGTTTACTTGGACAAAAAGTAGTTTGTCACAGGTCTCTCTTCGTCACCTTTCTTTTTTTTGCGGTAAGTATAAAGGTTTATTTTATTATTTAACACTGAATTCAATTATGTACTGAAAGTCTATCCTTGATATAATTCGTAGACTTAAGTTGCATGTGGTGTTTCAATAAATCATTGAAAGCCGTCCATATCTCATTTGTTTCCACCTCATTGCCTTCCATTCCCTCTGATTTATTTGCTGGATGATAATGATCTCATTTGGACGGTAATGATTGTTTTGAAGTGAAGGTTGTAGTTTTTATCTAACCACCGGGTAACGTTTTTTGGGCTATTATATGTGTGCATGTATGTAAGAAAGACAAAAAGACAGAAAACAGAAATATTATAAAAAAAGGAAGAGTAGTGGACACGAAAAAAGTACGATGCACAAGTCAAAACGTCTAAAGCTAGAATAATACGCGACGTGATATGAAAGTTATAAAAAAATCCAAAAAAATACCCAAAAAAGGTCAATCACTTTGTCAGCATGAGAAATTAAAAAATATCGTAACAAAATTAACGAACTATAAACTCAAAGGCTTGATTGATATGATTATGCCTTTGCATAATTTGAGTAAATTACTAATTTTGTATTTATAATTTATTATTTCCATGTTTTGATGTTTTCAAGATGTTACCTACACTTTTATTTTGAATCAACTAGACTGATGGTTACTTATACGAGTCTCTTTATTTTCATAAATGTATATTTCTACGTAGTTTATTCCATATCAGCTGTTGCGACAACTATAGATAAATCCAATTTTTGATACAATTTATTAAAATTTAATTATGAAATTATGATGAATTTTAGTATACATATATTTACTCACTTTTTACTCTTAAAAATGTCATTACTTTCTACAAGCACTCGTTACCATTTGGTCATATTTTCATAATGCAATTGGTAAATACCATTACATTCCATACACACTCATTACCATCCTGATATATTTCATTATCATTACCATCCTGATACATTTCATTACCATCCACCCCTTCATTACCTTCCTTTAAATTATGCCTAAAGTATATGGTCTCCTAAAGTGCATTTCTCTTACATTTATTGCTCATGGGTATACGAACCATTGTTATGTTTTAATTTCGATGAGAACGACAATATTTTGATTTTTAAAGAAACGTGAGAAAAAATTTGAACGACTCGCGAGAACCACCTTTTAAATAGATCTGATTGGCACTGCCACATCGCCAGTAACCTCGAGACACAAGCTGACAAGTCCCATGTGCCTGTAATTTCACCAGCACCATTACCTTCAAAACCGGAATGAAGTAATGCTCACATTACTGCTTGGCTTGGCGGCAGAAATAGGTACCTAGGTAGCAGTACTTCCCTGGACACTCTTTCACAGGGAGCTTTACTGCTACTAATTTATTGGTATCTATGTATAAGTTTATTTAGGTATATTGATATATACAAGTATAGAGGTATATACAGGTTAAGGCGCATTTCAAATTATACCGTTGGCTGTCTGGAAGAGATTGCTCTTAGCGATAAGGCCACCTTGGCGCGTATTAGTTCTTTTAGGTACTGTTTTTGTTCTTGTGTGTGAGCAATGAAGTGTGTCTAACCTATCTTACAGGGTGTCGAAGAACTCTAGCGTATTCTCGGAAATTCCTGCATTTACCGTATCGGTATCTAGTTTCTAGCTTACACAATTGACATTCAAACATTCGCTTCCACTTACAACAATATGCGCGGTTTTGTAAATTGAGCCTCTGACGAAGTGCCTTGCTTATTCCGTCCTATTGGGGGCAGCTAGGCAGGATGATCAGGAGAGAGGAGATGCAACATACGGAGAAAATAAAGTGCTTCGTAACTTACTTGGCATATCTGTTTGGTACTGAACCGTAAGAGCAAACAGAGAATTTCACTCTTTATAAACTCTATTTATCAAGATATGATCTCTTCTCCTTCATATCTGTGGTTTTCCAATAACGTGGACATTTACTAAATTTAAGACTTATAAGCTCTTACATATTCAAACACGATCCTTCTAATAAGCACCCAATAATAAACATAAGTGATGTACCATCATAGTGCGATAAATACAAATACGCCTGCAATTACAAAAATAAAGTAAAACGCCTTTTTATTGCCCACATTACAATGGCATATTCCGCTATATTCCGATAAACGCGATAACAATAAATGTGAAAAATTAATAAACAGTATTCAAAATAATCAATATATTTATTTTGTTTCATAATTGTTTGATAATTATCCATGCTGATTCACGGTTTTATCTCTTTAATTTTTACAGGGAAAAAAACTAAACACGCAGAAAAATCTTTGTGAAAATTATGTGGCTTGTGACTTTTTTGTAATAGACATTAGATACGTTTGGATACGTCTCTGATACAAAACATGGCACGACATTACTGACGGTAGCATCTTGTTGTTCTCATTATTATTTAAAATATCAAGTATTTTTACTTAGAACCCTGTTAATAAGTACCCCCTACATATATCGCAAGTACTTAAGCTGTTTTATAATAAATATGTATATACAACATCGTATTAGTTATTAATACATATAAAAGTACACGAAAGTAGACTAGTCACTCAATTTAATTGAATTCGCCCTAATAGCGAGAACAAAACTCTTAGGATCAAGACAGTCGACTTGGAACCCAATGAAGCTTGAAGTAACGTCCAAATGCGTGCTCAATTATAAAACGGCACATTGCAGTCAGTAGGTCAGTGGCTTCGGTATCTTATGTAATCTCAATACGTAACTTGCTACTAGCTATATCCCTCTCACCTTGTCTTATGGTTTTCTAAATTCCCATCTCTTTCATTGCAGACCTTGTGCAAGTACAATTGTTGTCGAAATTAATTTTTTTACTGCTATGTTGCATTTTGGTAATCAGATACTATATTATATCACTCACGGAATATCTAAAATATATAGAATGTAATCTAAACTAATATTGTTATAAATGCGATTGTAACTCTGTTTCGTTTTCACGTCTAAACTGCTGAACCAATATGATGGATATTAGTTTAGCGGTAGATGGGACCTACTTAAGAACGACAAAGCTTCTTTTTGTCTCAAAAATAAATCCTATAGGGGGTGTCATAGGAGATGACAGTTTATATAGAGAACT